ACCTTCTATGGGTCATCTCGATTATCACTTCAAAGTTTTTTCTTCTGCTGCTACTAATAGTTCATCTAAATTGATTGGCCTCTTACAATTGGTATGCGTACTTCCACCTTTTCATGTTCTCTGTATGTATAAATATCTTCTGTCTGTGTGTTCCACGCTATGCATCTGAAGAAGTGAGCTGTAGCCCACAAAAGCTTATGCTGAAATAAATTTGTTAGTCTCTAAGGTGCCACAAGTACTCCTGGTTTTTTTTTACTGTAACTTGCAAAATGGGTTATATCATACAATGGTTAAATTGCCTGGGATCTATTTTAATGATTTATGACACCTTTGAGTAGCCCAAAACCCAGCAGTAATTCTTATTCAGGACAATAATACTGTGACTATTTCATTGGACAAATCCTGAGTTCACACTTTGATCATTCTCTTTCTAAATCTTGTGCTGATGAAAAATACCAACTAAAGACCTTCCCCTTTGGACCGTTTTTTTGAGAAGGAGTTTGTATCTAATAGAACAAGGCTTTTCAATGAAGGCTAAGGGAATTCAGGGAATGTTACTTTCATTGAAATTAATTGTGTTAAGTGCTTACTTCCTTTAGGCACCTTTGAATATCCAGGCTGAAGGAATGATTTATAACCCCAGTGAGTCTTGTTGCCATTCTGAGTCTGGTCGTACCTTACGATGTTGTATTTATCCTTTTGGTCTTTCACTTCACCATCTCCCAAAAGCTGCTCTTAGACAGATCCTCAAGTATAGGAACAACAATATGAATCAACTCCTTTAAGTCTCATTGCTTATACGAATTGTATTTCGCTCTTCCTTGTGAAAGTATCTAAGGGGAGCCTAACAATGTGTAAAGGGTAGGCTTGGCAGAGGAAGAAATGAACTGCATGGTTCAAGATAATGAGGAGAGAGAGCCTTTGTCATTGATTCAACCATTGTTAATGGAAGCAATTACTCCCTGAAAGGTGTTCAATGGCCTATTGATATTTGTTTGATCATACACAGTGCAGGTGCAGCGTAATGACCACTTAAAAGTGAAAAGCAAGATAGAGAACCTGGGAACTCGATCCTGCATTAGTGAATACTGCTACACAGCTGCCACACTAGTCTTGCCTGGCAGCAGGAGTGAGGTCTAAGAAGGGAGCATCTAGCGAGGACCTCACTTCCCATAGCGAAGATCAAGGTATATTGCAGTCTAGGTGTTCTTCATCCAGGCTAGAGTGCTTGGTCCTTAGATGAGTAGGTGTTTAAAAAGTCTTCAGCCCTGTCCAAAACAGTTAGCTCTGTTTTAACTCATTTCTGACTAGACTAACGTGCAGTTTTCTAGACCTACAGAATATCAGGTACTTTGATAATTGAGACAAAAGCATCTGCCCCAAAATGTTAATCTGAGGTCAGGTCTACACAACAAAATATTGATGGCATAGCTGTGCTGGTCAGGGATTCGATGAGGAGTGATTTGTGACCAGCATAGCTGTGCTGGCAAAAGCCCCTGGTGTAAACGCAATTATACCGGCAAACTGAATTCTTGCTGGTAGAGATTATTTTCCTCAAGGGGGCTGGAATAAGCTATACTAGCAAAAGGGCAGTTCTGCTGTTATAAACTGCATCCTCGCTAGGAGAGCTTTGCTGGTATAATCTGCCAGTATAGTTATACCATCAAAGTGCTGCTAGTGTAGACATATAACCTAAGAGTAACCCACAAAATACCTGCTCTTGTCTTTTAAAAAAGATTTTGAAGCATATTTAAGTCATTGGGGTTTTCTCTTCCAGCATGCACAGTTTCTTTGAAATCAGTGGAGTTAGTTGAGAGCTGAATTTGACCCACTATCTTGAAGAGAATTTCCTTGCCTTGAACATGTTATAGAACCATATTGAGTTGAAAGAGGACCCCTAGAAATCCCTGTCCAGTACATCTTTCTTGTGTCATGGATTTAAGAGTTAATTCACACAACCAAATCATAGGGTAACATTTGATGCTACGGTTAGAAATTAATGGACTGACTACCAGAGGGATTCATTGCCTGCAGTTTCCATTGAAATTATTCGAAGCTGTGAGTGCTTTGAATCTTCGAAAAACCAGGCACCTTAATATCATTTATACTTGACAAATATTGCAGATTAAAGCCAAATTTTTCCCTGGTATAAGCAGGCACAGATTTTTTTGAAATCAGTGGAGTTAGATGAGGGCTGAATTTGGCCCATTATCCTTAAGTGAATCTTCTTGCCTTCAGCAATGTCTCAAATTCTTAATAAACTTGTAATGATGTTTGGTAGTTTTTTGTTAAATATACACCACTTGCTTTCATGCTTGAAATTACATGTTAAAGAAATGTTTCTGTAATGAAAAATTCTTCTAATGGTAGAAAGTGGATTGTGCCATTAACCAAAATAGTTTTCATTTAAAAACACTGCAGATTCCAGATCAATTAAGTTTTCAAATAGCTGGTGATAGATATTGCAAAGCCTGATGTCACTGTAGTGTGAAGAAAGCTAAAGCTGCTGTGTTCGATCTTGCCCTTCAGAGATCGCTTTAAACATTCTCGTGCTGCTACCTTCAAACTGGTGTGAAGTGTCTAGATAAACACACAGAACGGAAGCTAAGTGAGAACAGTAATACAATATGCCCAAATATTTAAGGGGCATATTGGATACTAATGACATTTGGGGGCATAAAAGGAATTAGATGTTTAACTATAGTGACTCTTGATCGTGTGGAAAGAACTGCACTGATTGCCATGAGTTAGGGAGAAATCCCCCCACCTCACTTCCCCCCTTAGAGCACATGCACAGATCTCTAGAGTTTTTTGCTTTCTAGGGAATATTCAGAGGTTCCACTTTTAGGAGAAAGTAGGAATATATTGTATATTCCCTGCAATGTGCGCACACCTCTTGATCCTTTCCGACTGTCTGGGGACTCATTTAATACGTAGGCCCAACCAGATAAGGTTAAACTAAAGTTTTTTGCCTTGGCTCTGACAGCTGAATGTAGTGTGTGCATGCCCCAGTCACTTGGAAGGATGGGGAGGAGATTGGAGGAGCTGTTATCTGCCTTACAGTCCTTTTAAACCTGCTATTGTATGACACACTAGGTAGTGTGGCCTGGTACACAGTGCACCTGAATGGGTAGCCCAGAGACCTGGGTTCTGTTTGTAGCTTGCTGCTTATCTTCTGTGTAACCTTGCGCAAATGTGTTCACCTCTCTACCTTCCACCCATTTTTTTTTCTCTGTTAAGATAATTTCTGGTCCAAAGATTTTACTATCTAAAGTCATTTGCCCAGTGTCTAGTACAGTCTGGGTTGGGCCTCAGGGCACTTTTATACAAATAACAGGAAAAGACCATCTGACCCAATATACCTTCCCTTTTGCATTATATGGGAGTATGGTAACTTGTGGGGCTAGAAGTGAGAGTTGCTGGTTTCCCCATTCTCTGTATCAGAAGGGTCTCCTTTCTAGTCCATTCCTTTTCTAAAGGTTTTTTTCCAACTCAGGAATTTCAGCTGTGCTGCTAAATTTTTAATGAAAATATACCCAGCACATCAAATAACAATTTGTTATATTGTATGAACAGAGGATTGAATTTAACTTTATCATATCTTAGTGCCTTCTTTAATTAAATTACTTTTGGTTCCAGCATCCTGTGTGTTATAACAAAGATGCACCATGCCAATGGTCAGGAGAACTTTTAGCAGTCACAATGTTTCCTTGATGCAGGAAAAACCGGTTTTTGTGGACTCCCTTTGTTTCTCTGAAGCTTAAATTTAATCCTCTTTAGAGTACTCTCTTCCCCGGATCATTATTCCAGATATTTTTAACAAGATCCTCTGTTTTAGCACTTTTGAGGGCCTCATCTGCTTTATGTTGAAAGGTGAGTCAGTTTTTAACTCCATATGTTTGGGTTGACTGGGTTTAGATTGCCCTTCAGGCTAAGGCGGGGCGAGCAAACTTTTTGGCCTGAGGGCCGCATCGGGTTTCAGAAATTGTATGGAGGGCCGGTTAGGGGAGGCTGTGCCTCCCCAGACAGGCAGGCGTGGCTCAGCCCCTATCCGACCTCCCCCTGCTGCTTGCCCCTGAGGGCCCCCTGGGACTCCTGCCCCATCCACTCCCCCACTCTCTGTCCCCTGACCGCCCCATCCAACACCCCTTTTCCTTCCTGACTGCCCCCCTGGGACCCCTGCCCCATCTCCTCTT